GAGTGCTTTAATGCATCCCCCGCTGTTTTCAGAGTTTCCTTTGCTGTCTCCCTGGCAGATTCACCCAGCTTGAATCATCCGTTAGTAAGAAACCCTGTTTTCTTAATAAGAGGTTGCTTTGTTTTTTAAAAAAAAAAGAATAAATAGGAGAAATTATAAACTAAAATTTAATTTTCTTTACCACACTATTTTGATGCACCATTTTAAATCTTATTCTTAGTATTACTTGAGACAAACATGCTTCTAATGTTTCCTTGAAACCTGCTAATTATCAATTATGTGTCTTCATGAAACTTGCCTCCCGGACCCTAGTAATTTGAACAAAGGGTACAAATAGCAGCATCTCTTCCAATATCTATTTCTTTTGGCATTGATGCCTGTTTCTCTTCCTTTTTTAATTTGCTTCTTTTTCTTATTGCCCTTGGGACTACAAAGCTTTCTGTGAAGAAAAGAAAAGAAAATACTTACTCCTTAGGAACATCTAATAACATTGGGCAATACAGGATGATCAACCTTGATTTATTCCAGTGAGTGATTGCAGTTCAGCTGACAGTTGCATAGAGAGGACCATTTGTGTCTGTTTGTATAAACAGAGTGAAAACAATGGGGTAGATATTCATTTGTATAAAAATTAAGAATTTTATGTCTCAGTGCCCTCAGATCATATCTAAATGCATAAACGTAGATCAAGAAAGAACTAGGTAATTAATAATTATTAAACAGAAATAAAATCTGATTTTAATTTAATTTCAAGTTTAACTGGTTTAAATCTGTTTAAAACAGAATGTCAGAGCTGTATAATAGGGATTATTTCAACAGTCGAAAATGGCTCAGTGTTTTAGGCTAGAGCTTAAAATTGAGCATAGTGAGCATTTTTAAGATCTCTGCCTTAATTAAGTCAATACAATATAATTAACATGGGGGATATTAATAGATAGAGATATAGAAATATATAGATATTGTACTTCTATTTTGGATACTCAAAAAATGTGGATTTATAGTTACCTAGCTATACTGTTGAACGGATAATTCAGTAGCTGTGGATAAAAACATGCAACGTTGGGAGGAAGAGGAGGAAAGTGGGTCAAGACCAGAAACCACCTATATAGGATTCTTCTTTCCATACAGGGCCATTGCTGCTACTATAGTTATACTATAAATTCATTTGTAAGTAATAGTTATTACATTATACATAATTATTTACAATGCTCGGATATTGCTAGAAGGATTGTTATCCTGAAAGTTGGAGTACAAGTAATTACAGTGCAAGAAGAAAGAGTTGGCGATAGTTCTAAACAGATTTATGAAAAAGTAATCCCATTGAATTTAGTGGGCATTTATCAATCAGATTATTTACATATAAATGGACAATATCATTCAAAATAGCCATCTTTATTTTTTTGTATTACCTATCTTCTACTACCATAAAACTCTTGTGTCTTTCTGATTGACTGTAATCTTCATTTGGGAAAAATGGTCCATCATAGTGCAGCAATCTTTGGACCTAGGTATCTCAAATACACTAGTTTATAGAATGCTTCTAAAATACAGAGCCCATGACTTCAATCCAGTTGGATTGAAATTTGATAAAGTTGTGGCCATTTCAATACTGCTACACTACTACATTACTATGTTGCCACGGTCAGCTGCGGTCATATTATTTCTGACACTCCCTGCCAGCTTCCTACAAGGAAATCAGTGAGGAAGACAACAGGAATGTGGAAATCACTCTGATTCCTGCTGCTTTTGTGCCCACCCATAATTATTCTGTTTCTCTGTTTAGGCAAGGAAATATCTCTGAAACATTGACCTAATGGGACATATGTTGTCACACTTGTGGAATGTTATAATCTTAACATTTAGACGTTGGATATAGTATGAAATTGTTTATAAGATAATACTTCAAAATAAGTTGGCATTAACTATTATACCAAAAATGTTTTAAAGTAAGTAGTTAATTTTGATATTGCTGCATACTTCTATAACTTACTTAATTATTTTGCTATGGAAGGAATGGTTCTTGCTTACTGATCAGAAGCATGGAATTTTATAGTAGCTGTTACTGTATTTAAAAGAGTTCAATATATTTTATAGGAATATTAGGTTTTGTAATAATTTAATAAAAGCATGATAAGCTAAAAAGAAAAATCCACATTTCAAATCTGTTTTTGTTGTATAATAAATCATTTTACAGAATTGTTGTAACTTAGAGTGGTGTCCCCAAATGGGAAAGAATGATCTAATCTGGCTACAATATTGCATTTCCAGTAATTTTAAGAAAATGAAGTGTCTAATTTAGCAATCAGTACTAGAATAACACACAATCAGCAGAACATCTTATATTAATTTTCTCTAATTCTAATGGTAAAATTTATACTTTTCTTCCATTTATGTTCCCATTATAGTATATTATTGGTGTATTCAGTTTCTGTATTATACAGTGCTTAGCTTATTCACTTTTTGAATCCTCCTTCACTAGCCATAAAGATAAATCCCAATAAATTACCTGGGTTTTGTGTGATTATTATTTTTTAATTCAGTCAAATCTATTGTTTTTCCTTGCTTTTGTAATTCATTCAGGAACATATAACTGATCAGTAGATATTGAAACCAATGATGAGGCTTTGAATATTCCGAAGAAAATTTTTGAGGACTTCAATTTTGTTTTATTAATAAGTAAATCTTTCAGTCTGTATGAATTATTATCCCCGCACTAGTAAAATTGCTTTGAATGTTCTCCTTCATAAAGTTAGATATTTCATATTGAAACAAGAGATGATAAATCTGGACTCTTATCCGATTCCTTTTAGAAATTCTAAAATGTTGCTGCTTTCATTTGTTTCTCTGTCTCCAAAACCCACTTTCCTCATAAATTAATTTTTTTTCCACATTTTTTGAAGCTGCATAGCACTTAATTCTTTATAGTATAGCATTATCTGCTATTAAAACTGTACTTTAAAAAGTATGATGTACATCAAATAATGTAAAAGTTATCCTTCTTGATTTAACCAACATCTGGCAAACAAAGAGGGACCTATCTATATTAATTTTGAAATCAATAAAGACTCTCAAGAATCTCAAATAACTAAGTGCATACTTGCTCTGTGTGGGGACTTCATACTATTTAAAATAATTATACTGTTAATATTGATATTACAGTGGAGTCAGCGTTCTTTGAGAGATAATTACCAGAAGAGCAACAGTGTTGAAGAGTACACCAGCTGTAGGGCTTCACGCTTAGTCCTATGAAGACATTTCAAACATTAGAATCCTGAAGTTCTAAGCCGATTCAACAAAATGCCTAAGTAGCTGAAATCTGTATTGGTACTGGCCTTTAATATTAATAAGAATCTGATATAATTGCTCTGAGAGCCAGTTAAGTATCTAATTCCCAAGGATGTACAATCAGTTAACTTAGAGAAGGCTTTGGGAGAAAATAGAACGCAAGAAAGAAATAGTTAGAGAAAGAAAGATTCCGTCCGATACAGAGAAGTAGAAGATTTGAGATTTGGGGGGGGGGGGAGAGAATCCACAAACGTGGTGAAAGCAAATCTTGTGTGAGTTTAGATAGCCAATGGGAAATCAGGGTGGTTTGGGTGCATATATACTTGCCAAACAGCAAATCCAGGGGAGATAGCACACAGATATTTTGGGGCTGTGATTGCAGGGCAGAGGAAATCTCCGGGCACATCAGATTCCTTTTGTGAGGCAGCAAACTTAGTGTATCACATTATTTCTTAACTAATGGCCATAGAAAACATGTATGTTAAAATACACTATATTGCCAAAAGTATTCACTCACAACTGAGTCTGATTATGTGGATGGGTGAGCGAATACTTTTGGCAATATAGTGTATATTGAAATAAAACATACCTTATTAATAACAATAAAGCATATTTTAGTACAATAATTGTTATAGCTGAGACATTGATTTTAAATGTTAATGGAATTCTATGTTTGCACATTGGAACATATCCGATTCATGTGTGGACTAAGATTTGTTAATAAAGGTTTAAATCAAAAGTTGTACTGTACTTAGACTTGGCTATAGTGACAACAAAGTAGCAAAATCATGTTGAAGGAAAAACATTAAAACTAACTCCTTGAAATTACTTGCAAAATACATTCAGATTTTGGAAATTATTTCGCTTTGTAAAGAAATCAATTAAAAAACATCATCTAGAATAGAAATGTAATTTTTATTTCAAACATTAATTGGTACACATCCAATCAGACCATTTCTTTTTTTCTATTTCATCCTTAGTATTTATAACAGTAAACAAAACAATGTATGCAAACATTTCCCAAGTAGATAGCAAGAATTTCAGTAAGTCTGCAAAACCTTTATATAGAAACAGAATACCAAGGGTTAAAGTGTTTAAATAGATTATGCCTTCTTCAGGAAACCAAGAGTTATGACTATAATTCTTTCCCCTGTTCTCTGTGAATGGCTTATGGTAAACTTAGAAGGGTATCCATCCTTACATGAAAGAAACATGAAGCTCTGAAGATTTTACAAGCAAGTCGAATTCTAGGATTTCAAAAATCATTTGTCTAATAATGTGGTCAAAATTTCATATTAAGACAATAATGTTACAATATAGTCTGTAAACTTTTGACTTTTTACAAATCCTCACCAAGTAAATAGTAATATTACTGATTCATACAGTGTCTAGGGTTAAATCACTTTTTTAAGTTGCCTAACAAAGAATATCTTTTATCAGGAATCAAGAATATCCTCATAGTGTAGCTATAGAGGCCGGTATATGAAATAATATTTTCATTAACGGTACCTAGTGAATTAATAGAGAGTGGTTTGAAACTTGAAACCCAGAAAATAATCACTTTTTTATCCTGCAGTTCTTATATGAAATATCAAATAAAATGTTACAAATATTAAAAGTACATAAAATATAACTTAGAAATGTGGTTTGTCAGATATTCAATATGGATTTTGTGTGTGTTTACAAAATTATAACAGCAATCATATTTTTTAAAGGGCTTCCATGCAAGACAAAGGAATGAAGCTTACCTTGGTAACCGACAAAGAAAAAAAGATTGGCATGACAGAGAGGCTATAAAGAATGATTTGCAGAGAACAGGTTTGTATAACTCAACTCAGTCTTAACTCATGCAGGTGCAAAATAGTACTAAATGCAGCATACTAGTGGATATGTTCATGTAACACAAAAGAAACTACCATTTTTACACTTTTTTAAAAATTAGCAAGTTATAAGTAAGTTAGTAGTCCAGAATAGAAATTGAACAAGACTTCACTCAATTCCTAATGCTTTATGTCACTTACCAGAGACAAAACCCCCACAGAGCCTTGTTTGTTCCAGGAGACAGGAAAAATGCCAAACCAAAGTTCTCATTGGAAATTTGGAAATAACAGCAAAGGGCATGGCATAGGTCCTTAGAAACTCATTTCTGTATCTGCTTTTGTTAGTGCCATCCCATGTCTAGTTGAATGGAAATAAAAACTGTGTGGAAATGCACCAGCTGTGCCAGTAGTAAATTCTAGTAGTAACGATTCTAGATATGACTCTAGTACTGGAAAAGAGACGGGTGATAAGGATTAAAAGTATGAGTTTGAAAGGCCTAAAAATAATTGACATATTAAAACTACATAGAACAAGATTTTAAAAACTGAACTGAATTATACTGTTATCGTCAGGAGCAGAGTAAAAATTCCGTTTTTCTCTGCTATTGTACATAAAAAGGAATATGATGTGAAGGAGGAGAATACAAATGGAAGTAAAGAGATTTGTAGAGAGAGGAACAGAGGGGACAAAAATATGAGTGAAGCTACAGTAGCCATGACAAAAGCACTATTTTAGTATACTATATAAACAAATCATATCCAATTTACTTGTGCTGGTTTTAATAAAAAATATATTTAGTAATAACAAAAACGTTGGCTGGTGCATTAGACCAGTGTTTTTCAACCTTTTTTGTGCAAAGGCACACTTTTTTCATGAAAAAAATCACGAGGCACACCACCATTGACAGCGCGCGTTCTCCTCGCTGCTCCGGTCCTCCGCGATTGTTGCTATGGGCGCACGCATGGGACGTCAGTGACATCCCTGCGTGTGCTACCTCCCGGCGGTCCCCGCATTTTTAAAGTAAACGCGGGGCCGCAGGGACTTAATAGAAGCATCCCTGTGTCCCGAAAGCAACTTTCGGGACACAGAGATGTCCCGAGGCAAAAACACCCGGCGGGTGTTTTTCCCACGGCACACCTTACACTATGTCACGGCACACTAGTGTGCCGCGGCACAGTGGTTGAAAAACACTGCATTAGACAACATAGGGTAAAAAGATTCCCATTCAGTTTTTAAAATAAAATAAACAATTGGTCTTCCTTATGCAGGAAAACAAATAATGATTCAATATTATGGTAGAAATTAAAAATGTATGATTATTTGTATGTCAAAATGGAGAGAAGAGGGGGAATTTCATGAACATGGTAAATGATGCCTTGAAAATCTGACTTTTTCCCAGGTTCTAAGTGAGGCTGGGATGGTGCATCCATCTGAATAGCATTGTGTTTGGTATGTTTGTGGTGTGTCTTTTTGTCAAGCTGTAGCTATTTTTTGAACTGATTTATTACCACCCAGAATCACTGTGAGTTGAGCAGACTTATAAATTTAAATTACAAATTATAAGGCATATTGATTCATCAGGACAAAAATCTAGTAAGTCTATTGTGACCTTTTTCAAAAGGAGAAAATTACCTAGATGTCTCTTTTTAGCATTATCCAATATTCATAAACTGTATAATCTGCTTCTTAACTAGGGAGTTTAACAATTTGGGGCGTATTATTAAGAAATCTCAGCTGCAGTCCTAGAATATAGCATAATAAGTATTGCCTAGAGCTGTGACGAATGAGAAGGCTGATAAAAGGGCTTCTTGAATTTTGAACGTGGATGAAATTATTGCTCTGTTAAATCTCTGCAGTTAATATGTGGAATGTTTTAAGATTACTCCTTGCTTTGCTTATCTCTGCAGGAAATGGAGAACAAGGAAAACCATATCCTATGACTGATGTTGAGCAAGTGGACCAGGCATACAGGGAAAATGGTTTTAATATTTTTGTGAGTGATAAAATTTCTTTAAACCGTTCTCTACCAGATATACGACATCCAAAGTAAGTATAAAATGTTCTTATAGTTGAAAATATGACTTTTCTTATTTCTATAATTTATTTTCCTGAATTTTCCCTTAAATTCCATTCCAGCTGACACTAACATTTTTTGTTGTCAGAGTTTCAGCTGATGTATTAAATATGATATCTAGTAGCATGACAACTGGGGTTACCCATTTTTTTTTAATTTAAACAGTTTCATGTTTGAAACACACCTATTTGTATTTTAAACACTCTATTTTAAGTGTGAAACAAACATATTTTACTTGAAACACTCAAGATAAAAACAATCTCAGAATATTCAAAACAGCCTATTCCATATTTGAGATGGAACAATTTGCAGTGAGTATGAGGTGTTTCAAATATGAAAAATTTTGGACATTGTTTTTGGTAAGTAAAATTAAATAACACAAGATATTGTGTAATATACACCAATTTCCATGGTTATCAAATGTTCTTTATGAATTGAAATAATATGGTCCCACTGGATGTTTAATAATTACATGAGATAATATAAGCGATTTCTTTAGGTGCTGGAACAGTGGTAATATTTTATAAATACTGATCAAGATGGTAATTCTTTTCATCTTTAAGCTGCAATACCAAGATATATCTGGAGCAACTTCCCAATACCAGTATAATAATCCCATTCCACAATGAAGGATGGTCCTCACTTCTTCGAACAGTGCATAGTGTTCTCAATCGCTCTCCTCCTGAACTGATAGCTGAGATTGTGCTGGTGGATGATTTCAGTGACAGAGGTACATCCAAAGTATAATATAATTGTTAATACATTCATGACTCAGCCAAAACAATGGTATATATTGGATTATTTTGCACATAAAATACATTTTAATGTTGGGGTTTTAAGTACTTCCTCGGTTGTTGTTTTTTTAAAAATATTAATGTATCTTATGTGCCACACTTATTAATTTTTTAATGCTAAGGAAAACATTTCTCTTACTTGAGTAAAACTTTTTTTAAAAGAGTTGCAGAATTAGATAAAACAGATGAACCATGCAGAATCAAATTTTCTGAATGAGATAATTATATGTGTGTTTTAATGGGCAGATGTGTATTATTGACTTATATACTGTAATTTAACATAGTAAATGTGTTTTCTAATTTTGAGTACTATTGTTTAAGAATCTGGTTGGATCAGGATAAGCACACACACACATGTAGCCCATGTTGTATGTCACGTGGCAGGCAGAATGTTGACAAGCATGGACAGAAGAATTCTACTCTTTTTTCTCTATTACTCAGTAGCATCTCATATTCAAGGTAGACCTTCAAGAGGATTCAAGTAGCAAACAGCCATTAAGATCAGTGATCATCGATAGCCCAATTCTCCATGAATTTATTCAGTTTCCTTTCTAATTTGATAGTATCACATTCCAAAGATTAATTGTGTATTATTTGTGGATATAAGTATAAAAGACACTTTCTTTTACTATTCCTAAATTTCTCCCATTTAGTTTAATAAATAATCCCACTTTTAACTTTGTAAGAGAAGGAGAAAATTCCCTATCGCAATTATCCATATGATGCATATTTTGATATACATTTCTCTCTCCTTACTGACCTTTACTCTGAATTAAAAAACCATAATCACTGTGGTCTTTCCTTGTAGATAGCCGCTGAAGTCCTCTAACTATTTTGATTACATTTTCTAAACCTTTCCCAGTACCACATTAATCTTTCTGAGATATGATAGACAGAACTGTACATAGTATTCCACATGCTATGGAATATATGATTGATGTAGAGGCAAAACTATATCGACTTTTTTATTTCATGTTCCTTTCATAATGATTTCAAGCTTAGAATTTATATCCTTACAGCTACTGTGCAGTGAAGTGACATTTTCATTGAACTATCCATCATGATTCCAAAATCCCTTTCTTGCTCAATCGCTAACAGTTCAGATTCCGTTAATATATGTGGTTTCTGGGACACTTTGCATTACTTTGCATTTGCTTGCATTGAACTATGCACAGCTTAAACCTAGGGGAGTTACAAATATATATATAAGTTTTTAATGGCTATTTACATAATAACCTCTAAGACTCTCAGAGCTGTTAACGGAATTGATAAGTATATATTTTACAAAAAAATAATTAACTTTTGATGCCCTCATCCATATTGGAAAGACCCTTTTGGAACTCTTCAAACTCTCTTTTTTATTGTCCTAAACAATTTGGTATCAAATGTTTTCTTCTTGCCCATAGTATTTATGAACAAATTAAATAGTCTTTGTCTCAACACAACCCTACTTTGAGAATATCCTCAATTTGATATTTGATAACTCTTTCTTGTTCTATAGCTTATTCTCAGACCAAAAATGTTTGCTCTCTTACTCAATTGGTGCTGAAATTGTTTAGGAGTGTTTGGTGAGAAACTTTGTCAAACATTTTGGAAGTACAAATACACATTATTATAGGATCACTTCTGCCTTTATGCTTTCTAATAGTCTTAGAAATGACAACATGCTTAGTTGCACAGGCCTTGCCCTTAAGAAGATTATCTGATTACAGGTAGACCTCAATTTATGACCAGTTGCTTAGTGGGTGTTTGAAGTTACAATAGACCCACTAAAAGGTGCTTGCAACCCAGTTCCAAAATTCCAATGGTTGGGGTTTCCCATAGTTATGTAACTGCATTTTGGACACTCATCAAGTGGCCTACATTTATTGCCATTTGCAGAATCCCACAGTCATACGACCATATTACTGTATATAGCATTTTTGCCAAAACTGCTGTTTAATTCCAATTTCCCTGTAACAGCGCTCCATGGCGAACAATTGTTTAATGGTCATGGTGTTTGCTTAACAAACACTGCAAAAAGTCATCAAATTGACTTGGGCACATGACCCGCTTTTTGACTGCCATGACTTGTGTGGCTCAATTACGGTCAGAGGTCAAAGACTATCTGCATTTTCTCAGCTTTGTGCCATTACTGTTCAGCTTGTAAAGCTGAGGTAGAATCTCCTTTTTAAACTTTATAGTTTCATTTTTAATGCATCTTTGTTCCATGCAGAGCATCTCAAAAAGCGCTTGGAGGATTATATGGCCCATTTTCCGAAAGTTAGGATTCTTCGAACTAAGAAGAGAGAAGGGCTAATAAGAACTCGAATGCTCGGAGCTTCTGCAGCAATAGGAGATGTTATTACCTTCTTAGATTCCCACTGTGAAGCAAATGTGAACTGGTTGCCACCCCTTCTAGGTAAGAATCCTATTTGAAATGCATTTCTAAATGATCAATTGCAGATGCAGTGCCTTTCTGAAAACCAGAATCTGATATTATCCAAGCCTTCCGGTGGCATAGCAAGATTTTGTTGACAACATTAGAATATCCACATGCTTGTTAATATTCTAGCATTCAAATTACTGTTTTTTCCAATTCAGGGGATGGGGAAATACGAGGATAATCAGTTATTTCTTTTGCGCTCAATTGAAGGCTGCTCTTCAATCACATTTCATTTTCACAATTATTCATGATTTACCAGTATACAATACAGCCAATATTTTTTTTAAAAAAATAGCTATACAAACATTAAAATAGTTAAATTATTAAAATCGGCATAATCACCAGGAGAGAGGAACAGTATGGGCTTCACACTCCTCACTAATCTCCAGACCAGATGGCAAAGCCAAATCATCAGACCCTTCTGAAGGCCATCCAGATCAGGACCAACCTGACCTCAGCAGCAGAAATGTTCCTCCTCCAGAGTGCTACCAAATGAGACTTTCTGGAAACCCACAACAATCTTCTTCTGCTGGACCTGATGTCACTGGGGAGAGGTAGTCCCTTAAGTAATTTGGCCCCATACCATGTAAGGTACCATAAGTTACAAAGTTAATATCTAAGTTATATCATTATATTACTGTATATTATTTTGATATTTATAATACAATATTAAGTTACATTACATTGTAAGCTATAAAGCTTAGAAAGCACTTTGAATTGACTGGGAAACAAATTAATCAATTCAGCTCGTACAGCAGAAGTGTAATGTGTGTACGTCTAGGTGCACACATAATTGCTCATTCCATGACATTTTGCACAAACTGAAGCTTCCAAATACTCTTCAAGAGTAGCCCCATGTAAAGTGCATTATAGTAATCCATGTGGAAGGTGACCAGAGTATGAATGAGGGAGCATGGAAGGTGCTAGGGAGGATTGAGGAGGATGCAAGGATATGTGCAAGAGGCATTACATGGGTCAAGGATGTACGAGGATACAAGAAGATGACCGGTAGTGGGAATCAGGCATCCGTTTGCGTACCAGGGCAGCCGGAGGCCCCATACCAGTACGGTCCCTCCACTGATTTCACACACACACACACACACACACACTGGAAATGAGGTAGCTGTCAAAGAGAAGGAAGTGCAGACTTCTTCCAACAGCCAAGGAAGGAATAGGAGCGGAGGCCTTGGTGGTTGGAAGAAGTCCGTGCTTCTTTCTCTTTGACAGCTGCCTCGTTTCCAATGGGAGGGAGGGAATTCATGTGTTAGAGGGAGGAAAGGCAGTCCCTAGCAGAAGCTCCGCCTTCTCTTCCCTCTAATGCATGGATTCCCTCCCCCCCCCCACATTGGAAACAAGGCGTCGGCAAAGGGGGAGTTGGTTTCATCACCCAGAGATGGGGGTGGTTCAGGCTGGGGGAACAGCTCTTATTAATATTAATTGGCTGTTAAGTCACCCTTTCTAACCTGAGAATATGGAAACAATAATGGAAGGGGGTGACAAAATACTTCCTATGGGGGTGAGTTGTGTTTTTCTAATGAAAGTAGCACACATCTGGAATCTTAATTTGCTTGTTTGTTGAGTATAATTCCCCCTGTAATCCTGATCTTCAGAAGGACTCAATAGTGTTTTTAGCTTCAGTTGGAGAACTGGAGAACTTCATAATGGCTTACCTGTGTTCAGAGTTTTGCTAATCATAAGATAACGTTCTGGTTGAATCATACTCCTTTTATTTGTGTTGATATCTGTATTTTCCAATCTACTGTATTGGATCTCTATATAGCACAAGGTAGTGTAATCCTGTGCATAATTGACTTGAGGGTAGGTTTATGAATTTTACGAAATGTCTTGACAGAACAATTAGAGAAATGGGATGCCTTCAGAAATTGTGGGTATACCATCACTGGAGGTTTTTAAGAAGAAATTTGTCCATAATAGTATAGGGTCTCATCTCATGCTTCAGCAAGGGTTGGACTAGAATACATCCAAGGTCCCTTCCAACTCTGTTATTCTTTATAAATCCCTCCACTCAATCTTACCAAGAGAATGGGGACGAATAATATTTGGAAATGTACATCAGGCGGTCTTCTGACAACAAAATCTCATCTTATTGGCTAGTATCAAGGGGAAGATGACTTCCTCTCCCACCATAACGTGCAAAACAAGGTGAGAACTGGCTGGGAGGGGAGGGGCAAGGAGAAGCCAGGCGAGTTGCCCCTCCATTTGAGTGACATAGAGTTGGCCATGCCCACCCAATTACACACCCACTTAGTCACGCCCACCCAGTCACATGACTGCCAAGTCATTCCCACCCAGTCACATGACTGCCAGGCCACACCCCACAAAATAGGCCATGGCCACAGACTAGGTAGTTAAAAAGTTTGAAACCCACCACTGGTTGAAGAGTGCACAGGGTCAGTGAGTAACCAATGGAAACACAGAGGAGCCATTGGAAAGGAAGGGGACACAGATGGGGGACACTTTTTCCAGTAACTTGCAAGCTTTTCTGCCTGGCTTCCCACTGACTTTCGTACCAGGGGAAGCCAGAAGGGAAGGTTGCAAATGGTGATCTTGTGATTGTGGGTACTTGGCAATTGGTGCTAAATGTGAATGGATTGCCAAGCACCCACATTCTTAATTAACCATCTGCAAACCTTGCTTAATGATGACAATGACAAGATTGTGGCACTAAGCTATTCAAGCCAGTGGTGTTGTGCTTTACAACTACATTGCTTAGTGATAGAAATTCCAGTCCCAATCAGCATCATTAACCAAAGACTGCCTGTGTTCTTTTTCTAATATTCTTTTTTATGTTCTTCTGTAAGAATGTCATATTGTTACAAATGAAAGTATAAAATACAACTTTATTTATTCCCCAGACCGCATTGCTCGAAATCGCAAAACTATTGTTTGTCCAATGATTGATGTCATTGATCATGACCATTTTGGCTATGAAACACAAGCTGGAGATGCAATGCGAGGAGCATTTGACTGGGAGATGTATTATAAGCGAATCCCAATTCCTCCTGAATTACAGAAACCTGATCCCAGTGACCCTTTTGAGTAAGTTCATGAGATAAAGTGAATACTTGCTTAACAAGCTAAGAGGTTATCAGTTTTCAAACAGATATAACTGCTAGATGTTCTTTCTTATCTCTCCTCTAAAAAGAAAAGAAATCAACAAAGGTAGAAAATGAAGGTCAGTCACAAACCGGACAAATTAAATCATGTAATTATATCATAGACTATTGTTCCTTGAAATAACATTCCCTTCCAGTTATCAAAATCATCTGTTTTCAGATTAGTTTCTCTTTGTTTCTATACAGTTGGCACAAAAGCAGAAGTGGTCTCTGTCTCTAAAAACATTATTACCATTGTCTGTTGGTATTGCCTCAATTACTGGGGTGAAGAGTATACTCTCTACTAAGCATGAAGTTTGAAAGTCTATGTCACAATTACTATCACTATCATTTTTTATTCTTCTACTGTAGTCAAGAATGTACCCCAGCCAAGAATGTACTATTAAGAATGTACATTTGTGATAGGTGGCGTTGTTATATGCTACCTGATTTTCAAGTACATATACTTATAGCAACAATTCTTTTAATTCCCTTGATCTGAGTTCTATCTCTACAGCTACAATCTCTGTCCTTGTAAGAGGGAAATTTTGAAAAATAAAGCTCTAATATTTCTTGCTGAGTACAAGATTATACAGCTACTATCCAAAATATTAAAATACAGTGATCTCAATTCACAGTATTCACAGTGATCTCAATATAGAGATAGTCCTCTCTTAACAAAAACAAGAGCTTCCTGGAGGTTTTGTCAGATAGTAAATCCCTGCAGTCGTTAAGCAGATCATCATGTGATCTGATTTGATTTTAGAACCATTTTATTATGGTTATAAAGTGAGTCACAGTGGTTGTTAAGCAAATCATGTGGTTGCTAAGTAACATATTCTCCCAAATAGGTATTCTTTCTCAGGAACAGGCAAAAAAATGTCACAAATTACATGATTGCAGGATGTTGCAACTGATTATAAATCCAAGCCAGTTGCCAAGTACCCAAAATATGATTATGTGACTGTGGGCGGGGGGGGGGGGACACTGCAGCAGTCATAACTTCAAGGACAGGTTATGAGTAACTTTTTGGGGAGACCTCATAGTAACTTTGAACCATTCTTAAGTGATGACTGCCTATATATACACTGTTGGAAGTACAATTCTGTTTTATTTTATGTAATAAAATACTGTTAAACATAAAATATTTTAATGCTTACAGTTTTATCTCTACAGTTGTTTAATCGCCAGTTATGTTGTCATCTACTTCATTTCCCAATATTTATATTGAAAATTGCATTCCTTGTTGCAGTTCCAACTACTGTGTCAGCAAATTCTGTGTGCTATGAGGGGACCAGCAGCTTTTTAAAATTCCATTCAATCATATCAATTCTTGGATACTGTCGAGACAAGTCCCTTCCCTTTCCTTAGCAAGGTTTTTCAGAAGTGGTTTGCTACTGCCTCCTTCCTGAGGCTGAGACAAAGACTAGCCCAAGGTCACCGAGCCAGCTTTGTGCCTAAGCAAGACTAGAACTCACGGTCTCCCAATTCCTAGCCTGATGCTTTAAGCATCATACTAAACTGGCTTTCTACCAACGGTTTATACACATTATAACACGTTTATATAACATACCTCATATATTACCTGCATGGACAATTAATATAAAATAAATTTGAACTGCATCTAGCCTTTTAAGTTTTTTTCTTTTTTCCAGTAATTTTCTCTTCTCCATTTATTATGTCCTTCATTCTCTGAAAATTCAGGGTCCTAATTTTCTGTATTCAGAGAATATCAACAGACTCAGTGCTTTCTTCTCTGCTTTATGAATACATAGTCTTACCATTCTGTTTTTTGCTGTTTCTGCTATATTGTATATTTGGCTACTGTTTTTCAGAGTATAAGACATACCTTCTTTCCTCAAAAAAGAGGCTGAAAATCTGGGTGTGTCGTATACATCGAATACAGCATTTTTTGCCTCCCGAAGCCCCACCCCTTCACCAAAATGGCTGTGCATACCCTTATGGAGGCTTTCAGAGAGCTCCTGGGGGCTGGGGAGGGCAGAAATGAGCAAAAAATGGACCGTTCCCTCCCCCAGCAGCACTCTATAAGCCTCCATAAGGATATGCATGCATTTTTTTTTTGACAAAAAACGGGCCCGTTTACATGGAAAACGGGCCATTTTTTGCTTGTTTTTGCCCCTCCACCATCACCCAGGAAAACTCTGAAAGCCCCCCCAAGGCTATTCATGCCTTTTTTAAAAAGGGTCCGTTTTCGTGAAAAACGGGCCATTTTGGGGAGTTTGCAGAGTGCAAAAGCTTTCCCCCCACTTTTGGAAAGCTCTTTAACTGATTGATGAGAATTACATTGATCAAGTGCTGTGCCAGCAGAAACAAAGTGTTGGTACTGCAGATTGTCAGTGATTTCCTTCTCCAGCACATGGATAAATACACCTGAAAACATCTACCTACCTATCTACTCTTACTCTCTCTCCCCACCTACCTACTGCATTTCCCTCTCTCTCTCTCTCCCTCTCTCTCTCTTCCTATCAACTTACCTTCTCTCTCTCTCTCTCCCTCCCTAACTACCTACTGTGTTTCTCTCTCTCTCCCTCCCTACCTACTGTATTTCTCTCTCTTTCTCTCCCTCCCTATCCCTCTACCTACCTACCTACTTTTTTTTAAAAATTGCCTCTTCAAAACCTTGGTGCATCTTATACTCCGGTGCATCTTATACTCCAAAAAATATGGTAATTCCCTTCTCTTCCATCAGTGAATACCAGTTTTCTGAGGGATCTCTCAACGTTATGTTATACCACTCTGGTTTGAATTAAATCTGAAGCAAATCATTTCAAGGTCCTGGTAACATCCTTTTTCTGCATAAAGCTGTTAAAGAGGAAAAAGCAAAAAGAGTGGTGATAAAAAAGAACAATATAGATTTCCCCTGGGGGATCTTTATTTTCTTATAGAAAACATTCTGAACGTTAGTTTTTCTAGGTGTACACCTGCATAAAACTTGTTCAACAACTTCTACAGCTTAATTACATTCCCCCTTCTCATATTTCACGTGACTGGTTTTTCTAGATTTGTTTTCAACTGTCATACCAATAACTGCTCTACTTTTTTTTTATTTCCTTCACTTTAATTTGTTTGGTTTTAGTTGTTTTAACACATGTGTTTTCAGATGAGATGCCCCTCTTCCTTTCCTTTTAAATTTTCTGGCCTCAGCTCTGTATCGTAAAGGCTCCATTCCATAAGTACCAAGTTTGCAGGAACAAACTTCCATCCTCATATAGGCACAGACTTTACCCATTCTACCTTGGGAAGAAAATGATGCCATAGACTCTTGTAGCTGATGTCAAACAGTTACTGAACAGGCTTGCAAGAATCATCTAGCCTGTTTGTAGGCATCTCTTTGGCATCAGGTTGTTAGCAATATCAGACTCCTATAGTTTCTTTCACTTCCCGCAAAGTTCCTTTTGTGTTCCAGAGGTTGCTGTATAGTATAAATGACACTGTAGTCAAAGTGCAAAGTAGCCACAGTGGGAAGTAAAAAAAAAAAGTAAAATGCTATGTTAGAGTTATGCATGTAATTTGGGCAGACTTTACATAAATATTATAATATGGAGTTTAATTTTTCTTTTAAGGTCTCCAGTTATGGCTGGAGGATTGTTTGCAGTTGATAGAAGATGGTTCTGGGAACTTGGAGGATATGATGCAGGACTGGAAATCTGGGGAGGAGAGCAGTATGAAATATCATTTAAGGTGAGTTATTGAAAAGATATTGTATAATATTTTTAATGGAGTGTGGCTTGGCAAAAAAAATCTTGTTTCTATATATAAAATTATTGAAAAAAGAAGAATTTAAGCAATTTGTTAAAAAAAATTTAAATATTGTTAAGAATCTAATGCTTCTGTTGAATTGCCTAATGACCCCTATTTATGGCATCTGATTGTTAGCATATGAGAGGTCAATTTTCCTGAAACTAAATGTTTTATATAAAAATCAGGCTAAATTGGTTAATTGTACCCGGATTGTCACTATTTTAAATGCCAACTGAGCTCTGGTTTGATAGGTAAGAATAGAATTTTGAGTACTCAATCCCTACCGGAAAAAAAGTCTTAACCAATACTTTATCCTGGTTCTCAAGCCATTTATGTCTTAATGGACACACTGTATTGTCCATTGTATTGGGTGTATTTCATTTGGGTAATATACTTAACAAAACATGAATAAATGGTAAATATCTTAAATACTAAGTCTGTGATTCATTCTTCTATAACTGCCTGGTTTGATACAGCAATCAAATAAGATAGGTACAGATATTCAATAGATAGAAAATATCTACAGATTCCTCACATCCTGGACATAAACTATTTCAATTCCTCCCCTCGAGGCACTGTTATAGAGCATTACATGCCAAAATAACTAGACACAAAGACAGTTCTTTTCCCCAGCCATCATTCTGCTGAACACTTAATTTCCATAGTTCTGTCTTATGTCTAAATATATTCCATGTAGTATTGCTATATTACTTTTATCCTTCTCATCTGTTCCACTACATTCTCTATTGGTATCATTATTATGATTGTTATCCTTTATTATTATGATTATTATTACTTTGTAATAATGTAATTGCCTGTACACTAAGAGCTTATTTGAGAGAAATTCCTTGTGTGTCTAATCACACTTGGCCAATAAACCTATTCTATTCTACTCCATTCCATTCTATTCCACTCAGGGGTGGGTTTCAAAAATTGTTCGAACCTACTCTGTGGGCGTGGCCTCCTTTGTGGGAGTGGCTTGCTGCCCATGTGACCGGATGGGAGTGGCTTGCCACCCATGTGACCAGATGGGAGTGGCCTGTCACCCATGTGACCTGGTGGGAGTGGCCAAGACGATGTTATTACTTGATATTACTAATTACTAGATATTAC